ATTACCTCTCAGTAGATTACTTTTTATTTTTTGAATTTGAATTAGTCTTAGTAGTCGAGTCTGCAAAAGGACTGTTATAGAGGTCTGTGAATTTGTAGTTTTCTCATTAACCAAATTGTTCATTTTCAGCTGGAGGGTCTCCGTTTGGAAAACCATTCAGTAGCGGTTTCGCTGCTTTGGCAGCAAAGGCGAACACTGAGACGCCAGTGAAATCTACAGATAGCAGTAAAATAATTAAACCATTTGGAGGGAAAGATTTCGATTCGAAGACGGACTCGGTAAGCTTCAAGAATACTTCACTGTTGTGTTAGCACGGACGGTTATTGCATTGATGAGGAATGTGACTAAATTGCCATCAGACGATTGATCCGGTGATTGCTGAAGCGTCGGTTTTGCTTCGGTCTGTCCGGCACAGAATTCTTTGTGAGGCTTCTGCTTGTCAGCGCACTTTTGCATCATCTGACAGAAGTGAATGATTGCGGTTATTGGGAATGGAACGGTTTAAAAGCCATATCACCGTGTTGAAGTCAATGATACATGAATGTCACTGGCGGAAGCTAAAGCTGATTAGAGTGCCTTTTTGTGACCATGAAAAAATTACATGAGCACTATTTGTGTGATCACACTAGAAAGTGAGATTTGTATCGGCAAGGCATCTCGCTTGCTTTGTTGACAGCCGGAAGATACTGAAATTTGGGTGGAAGCGTTGTCGCTTTTGCACCAGTCATTGCACAGAGCATAGGCTAACAGCATACCGTGTAGTAACCTACAGAGGGATTTTGTTTATTGATATTTGTTAGAGAAACAAGAAATTCTTGCAAATCAGTTAACTGCCCTTGCAAATGATGTTTGCAATAGTGGGAGCTGGGCCGGAAGTAAATTTGATTTTCGTATGAGTGGGTTTGCAATTTGAGTTTTTTTTAGCTGTACATAATGTTGCTGTTCTGATGAGATGAATGAAATTTTTAGATTTTCTCCTCCAGCTCGATATTATCGAAAACGGAAG